TTATGTATTTTCCCTTTAAAATATGAAAACTCAAATATATGAGAAGTCGAAGGGGACTCAAAATCTGCTATGTATAGATAAAACTATCAATTTAATCATGAAAAAACAGTATCGAAGAATTTTCAAATGAACTCCTTCATCCTATCTAACTCCAATCCTTGGGTGGGGGACGTCAATAAATCAAAAGACATTTATTTTGGAAAATGTTACTAATATTTAAAGTAATATTATAATTGAGTATAGTGGTTTTAATGTTTTTATTTTTTTTATCTTGAAGTGATATTTGCTTTTTATTATTTTCAAGCAGAGTGTCGATAGACACTTCTTTCTTGAAAAATAAGTTAGAATGAGAATATTGTTTTTCACGTATATATATTACATATTGATACTCATTGATTTTTATATAATTTTATTTTTTTATATTTTGATACTTTTTAAGCGAAATTTTAACTTCGCCACTGAACTCTCGCAAAGAGTGACTAACTTTTATATTTTATTGTATTATAATGTCATTTCACTAAAAAATTTATCAATTTCGATCGTAATACAAAGTCTGACCAACTTGTAGATTTTTTGGCATTATAATAATATAATTTAACGTCGTAATGCAAAGGTAGGTTGACCAATTAATTCTGTGAGATAATATTTGCTCAAGGAGAAACGTGTTTTATATTGCCAAATATTTTCACTTTAGCGTCTTGGAATGAAGGGATTAGAAACGGAGCCCAAGGGAGATGTATCTTATAATGATTGAACTAATTATAGAGGGTAATTGGCTAAATTTAATTTATAAGTTACATCAAATTAATTTAAGCATTGAAGTCAAAATCAATTAACAGCTAAAAGCCACTTCTAGTTTGATTATTTTTTTTACCATTTTATTTGATTTTTCTAAATAGATTATTATAACTTTTAAAAAAACAAAACGCCAACTCTCTCTTCATTCTATATTTGTTGTTCCTTTTTTCATACTTTAAAATTTATGGAGTACCTTTTTTTTTTTTGGAAAAGGAAAAATCAAATGGTATGTAAATATTCTTCGTCATATTTTTGAAATATTTGTGCCCCTATCAGCTAAAAACTAGAGTGTATATATGCTTTATACAAACGGATATACATGTGTCATAATCTTACCCATGATTCGATATTTATTAAATATCGAATCGACGGATAAGATTGTGTCACGTGTCTATGTGGTCTTTCGTTAGAGGGAAGGGCATACATGCTCTAGTGTTTGGACACCAGGGACACAATGTCCCAAAAGTATGAAGAAGGATATTTTCATACCATTTACGATAGTTTGAGATTATATTTATGTTTTTTCCCTTTTTAAAATAAAATTTAAAGATATTTTAGTCATATTAGTAAAAGAATAACTAATTATTTATTATTTTTATCAAACGCTTAACCCCCCCCCCCCCCCACCCTTTCCTTACCTTCAAATACGTACTAATTTAGGTATTATTTTATTTTTTAAAAAACAAAAACTAACTCTTTGCTTCCAAATTTTTTTCTGTAGTGCGTTAGATATATAGATGTCAAAAATATGTTTTACTTGTTGTTGCATGACTTTTTAAAAATAAATTTTCTATTTATGTTATATTCGGTACCCTCTAAAGATATATATACATATCTAACATAAAATGAAAAAAAAAAATTAAAAAAATAAGCAAATTAAGAGCAGAGGATTAAATAAAATTTACTACAATTTTATTTCTTTAAAAATAAAATAATATATCAACTTTTTTCGAGAATGAGTGGGTGATTTCTTTTTTTTCTTTTTTTTGGATGGGTGTCGGGTTTTTTTTAAAAAAAGGGCAACTTTTACGTATAACAAATATAAAATTCATATTTATATGCTATAGCAAAGTTTGCATAATTACACTCCATAGCAAACATATAAATGTATAACTTGCTATACATATACAATTGAAGCGAATTGTATAAAACGAAGTGTATAAAATGACAAAGAGAAAGAGACTTGGGCAGAGAATTGTATAAAATGAAGTGTATAAAATAAGTTGTATAATTATAAGTGTATAGAACGATTATATACAATTTGAATTTGTAGAAAATGAGAAAGACAGAAAGGCAAAAGAGACTTGGGCAAGGAATACACAATTGAATCGAATTGTATAAAACGAGAAAGAGAGAAATTATATACAATTTGAATTTGTATAAAACGAAAAAGAGAGAAAGACAAAAGAAACTGGGCAGGAGAGTATTTTTATTGTATAATTATAAGTGTATAGGATGAAAATATATGTATTTGCATCTTTATATACAATTTTCTCTCGTTTTATACAAACAAAAACACAACTTATACATTTCATTTCTGTTTGTATAAGTGAGAGAGGCAAGGGTGGCGGGCGATATTAGGGAGAGTGGCGAGCGAGATTTGGGAGAGGGGAACAAAAATATATGTATTTATACAATTTCCTCTCTCTTTATACAAATAGAAAAACAGATTTTTTTATACACTTGTGTTTGTATAAAAGTGAGAGGAAGCGAGCAAGAGATGAAGCGAGAGAGGAGAGTGGCGAGCGAGAGTTTGAGGAGAGAGGTAACTGACAAACAGTTTGCTACAGAACACAATTAAATCAAAGGTTGGTTATAGCAATTAATTTGATTTATTAGTTTGTCATTATTATACAATTTTCCCTTTTAAAATATATTATAAAGGAAATTAAAAAAAAAGAATAGAAGGACGGGGATTGTCGGTGTGGGAGTGGGGGTGGGGTGGAGGAGGGGGTACGGGAGGAGGAGGTGGAGAGTGGTAAGAAAAATAATTTAAAATTTAAAAAATATTCTTTTGAGGGATAATACTACTTTAATCTTTAATTTTTAATAGTGTATTATTTAATTTTTTTTCAAGGTGAAATATTTTATCTATGTGAAATGTCATGTGTCAAGTTTTTTTCAAATAAAAGAAAAAGTGCATCACACACCATTTATGTATATTTTCAAACTAACAACAATTTAGGTATGAAATTCACGCTTTCAATAGTTTAGATATGAAACTAAAAAAAAAAATAGTTTGAGAGCATTTTAAATATTTTTCTCTTATACTAGTTTCAACAATTTCAATAGTTACTTAAATACTGTTTTTTTTATAAAATCAATTTTAATAAAAAAAATTTGCTCTTAAAACTTATCAGGTGTTTACAAAGTCAGCTGACCCAAATAGGGTGTAAGATTTTATTTTTACTTTTTTTTAAAAAAAAAAAGTAGTTCTTTAATTTTCAAAGTTGATCAATGAAGTAACAATTCGAGTTTTAAATGTTGAACACATGATGCATAATTGGTTGACAATAATTTTTTCCAAAATTTGCACTATGGTCAAAGATTGCTTTCATTTCTAAAGATTATTACTGTCTTCAGTGTGAAACAGATTATTATAATTTATAGCACAAAATAGGGAATGTTGTCGTCTAACATCATAGAGAAAATTAAAACACAGTGCAAAACACATGGCTATGTAACAATTTACACATGGAAAAACAACAAGAACATGATTTTTGACCAAGAGTTTAGAAAGTAAAATCTTTTGTTATAATTAGAATTGAATAATTACTATTATCTCACTTTATTGCCCTTTTCTTTAAATAATTGTTTCCAATTTTATTCACTTTAAAAGAAGTATAATTTTGAATTGTAATCATCAAAAATATTAATAAGTAAAGGGATTTTTAAGCGTTTTAACTCAACCTCAAAAACTGACTCATAAAAAGATGATTCATCAAAACGATATAAAAGAGAGAAAGAATCAATACTTTGCACCGCTATAGACTAGCTATCTTAAACATGAATAATATAAATTGAGGGTTTAACATCAAGTAAACAATGTTGAAATGGGACGGGTCTGACTCTGATATTATGTAAAATAAAATGAATCTTAAGCCTAAAATAATCTCAGAAGTTAGCTTATAAAAGTTAACATCGCTCAAAATCGTATAAGGAGATCAAACATCCATCCACGTCGAGCTGGGATAATCAACTTACAACTATAAACATTTAGTTGAATGGATTCCACTTCTTTTTTAAAAAAAGTTCACCCTTCATAGCAAAATTATTAGTAAAGGAGTTTAGCTTTTGGAATATAGTGTTCTTTTTTCTTTCTTAGGGCAAATGATAATACTTCCCAATTAAATTTTATTTTTTATTCAGTAAGACACGGTGAACATTAAACCATGAGCTTTGACGATTGTACCATATACTTTTAAGGAAAAATAATTAATTTTATATTAGAACTCCCTTCTTGATCAAGACAACCCCATGATTGCATAAAAGAACAAAAATATTAAATTTGTCTTCACACGTAGTGGCAAAAAAAAAAACATTTTTTTAGTAACTATAACTTACTTTACAAGAATGGAAGTTTGGTATAGTGTTGAGGAATACTATACAAACATTGTTGATATATATTATATTTAATAGTAACATATATGAATAATATAATGCAAAATGAAGCACTAATCATTTCAATAGTATCTGTCGACAGATAATTTGCTTCAAAAATCCGTTAGATGAAACTGAAAGGCTTATTATTTTGAACGTTATTTTCATTCTTCATGCAACAAACAATTCCAATTAAAGACTTGTGGAAAATTAAATAAAATTTTGAGTTAAAATAAAGGTTCAACGTAGACATAGACACGCGTACCTTAATATAACATATTAAGTTACCATCACACAATTTAGAAAATGTGTATAACAATTGTAGTACTTTATGTTATTGTACATGTACTCTTCCTTTTCTTTGAAAATTTAGACTTAAGGTGCAAGTGAGAAGTTGAAAGAAAAGAGAAATGAAAACTTCTTTGGGTGGTAATGGTGATGATGAAAGTGATGTTTTGTGGGGTTGTGTTTTTCTTTTTCTAAAAAATCATTTATAAAACATTATTAATTGTGAGAATTAAATTTAAAAAAAAAATAAAAAAAGCAAATTAGTTGGTTAAAAAAAAACAATTATAGGTGGAGTGGAAAACGGATTGAGAGGGATGTTCCTTTTGGCCAAGGGGCGGAGCTAATAGTCTACGAAACAAGTTCGAGTTCGATTGAATTCAGTATATTTTATTTTATTAATGTTGATAAATATATGTAAATATTTAAATTTAGAATTCAATTATTATTATCAGTCGAAAAAATTGTTATTGTAAAATTCAAAACTCATAAAAATTAAAATTCTGATTTCGCAAATACGAAAGAGAGAGAGAGAGAGAGTGATGGTTGGTCTTCTTGTCTTTGACTCTATCTAGTCTCTTTCGTTGCATTTTTCTTCACTCACAAGGTAATCATCATATGTGTATGAGAAATGGAACACATTTTGCTTCCACTTCACATAATCTTTTTCTTATTTTTTTTTTCCTTCTCTTTCTTATTATTCCATTCTATATATCTTTTCACCATCAAAACCTAGCAAAACATATCATATTATTTTTTTTCTTCTCCTCATCATCCATCATCTTGTTAGGGTTTGTCTATCGATGAGGAAGCCGGAACACAATAATACAACGATGAAGGAGAAGGAGAAGGAGAAAGTGAACAAGTTAGGGAAATTAAGAAAAGGTTTATGGTCACCAGAAGAAGATGAAAAGTTGATGAGTTACATGTTAAGAAATGGTCAAGGATGTTGGAGTGACATTGCTAGAAATGCTGGATTACAAAGATGTGGTAAGAGTTGTCGTCTTAGATGGATTAATTACTTGAGGCCTGACCTTAAACGCGGCGCCTTTTCTCTTCAAGAAGAAGAACTCATTGTTCATTTGCATTCTATTCTGGGAAATAGGTACATACATTCACCTTTTTCAACTTTGTATTTAAGTTTAACATTCATGTGTATATGAAGTGTGTTTTGGAGCCATGTTGGTTTTACCATGAATGAAATGAGTGAAAATCATAGGGTTCAAATTTCAGTATAGACAAAAATATTAGTAGTACTTATCTTTTTCTATTTGCATTGATCATGCTAGCTAGACACTAATGATATTGAGAAGAAGAGATCAAGAGAGTATGAGGGTGTTAATGGAACTAAAATGTGAATTAGGTTTCTTTTATCAACTAGCTAGCTTGAAATTAAATATTGATTTTAATACATCTAAACCTTTTGGGGTCGGATTCTTTTTCACTGTTATATATTACGCGAGATGTTATTAAATAAAATATATAATTAGATAATATCATATGAAAGTTGATTTTTTTTAAAAAAAAAATTGATTGTTAATAGTGAAATGATATTATAGTGAGGATGGTGTACATATATAGGACACTTGCATATTTTCTTTGAATTAAATACACAAATACAATTTTTTTTCAAAAAAATTGGTTGACTTATTGTTAACCTACTTTATGTAATACACAAAAAATAACAATCCTCTTTCAACACTAAATCTCAAGCTCTGAGAAGGATAAATTTTACTGTAATCTACAACTCCTAATTGTCATATTTAATTAGTCCCTTTTCATCATTTTCTCTTATGTTAGGGCATTATATTATACATACCTTAGTGTTAAATCTTAAATGATTCCCTTAATAGCTTTGACTTCAACCTCGTATATGTATTAAAATTTTTACTAATAAATAATATAATTGACTCCGACCCCAGAGTCCAACCACTTAAAAAATTTTAAGTAGGAGATTTATGAATTAAAAAAAATGAAGGGAAAATTAGATGATTAATTAGAGAGAAAAGTTCCAAAGATATCATTAAGTAAAAGAAAAACTAAAAATGAATATATCTACTGGCATATATAATTAATCCATTGTTTAGTAAGTCAATTTGATTTTCGCTTATAATAGTAGTGAAACAATTTCAATTTTTAAACAAATATTATTTGCTTAATTTGTTGATGAAACTAACATACTATAATGCAATGCAAATCCATGCTGTACTTTCTTTCCATTATTTTAAACCTTATGTATTTTGCATGTATGTATTATAGGTGGTCACAAATTGCGGCTCGTCTACCTGGGAGGACAGATAATGAAATCAAGAATTTCTGGAATTCCACGATAAAAAAGAGATCAAAAAACAACAACAACAGCACGCCATCGCCCAACACGAGTGATTCTTCCATTGGAGGAATATTTCCAATGCAAGGGCACGATGTAAATAATGTTATGGCAACGTTATGCATGGATAATTCATCGTCTACTACTTCAGGATCATCCATGCAAGCCATGGTACCTTTCAACCCTTTCCCTCAGCTTGATAGTACAAGCTACGATATATCTGGATTAGTCGGGCCAGTGAATTTAGGTCAATTTGGTTGTAGTGGAGGTGATGGTGGATTTTTGGACTATGGAGTTGTGGAAACTTATAGTATGATGGGTTTAGGAAGTGATGAATTTTCAATACCTTCTTTAGAGGGTGTTCATAATAAGAGTACTACTACTATGGGAGAGAGTAATAATAATAGTAATGTTGATTTTAGTAGTAATAATATTGTTAGTGGTGCTAATGACTATGATTCCATGATTGAGAAGAAAAATAATACAAACGTTAACAACAACAACAACCAACACTTGATGAATATGAGTGGAATTAGTGATCAAAGCCTAAAGGTTGAAGACTATATGGTTGGTTTTGGGAATCATCATCATTGGCATGGAGAAAGCTTAAGAATTGGAGAATTTGATTGGGAAGGTTTGTTGGCAAATGTTTCCTCTTTACCTTACCTTGATTTTCAAGTTGAATAAATACTCTCTCCAACCCTTTCAACCCCACATATACCCCCACAAAAATGACACAAATACCCCTCTTCCCAACATTTCTTTCTTTTTTTTCTTTTTCTTTGATAATCGTACGTTTAAATTCAGACGATCAATAATGAAGCAAGATTCGAAATTCAGTAAATAATAGGTCTGTCGAGACTTTTTATCTTCTCTTCCTTCAATTCATTATACATAAATTGTTCCCCCTCCTAAATTCTCCACAACTTCATCTTAGAGAAAATTTTGAGATATACTTCTTTTCTTTATTTGCAATTATCTAATACTTCCACTAGATTTTCTTTTTATTTCTTTATTTTTGGTATTTCAATTGTACGTTGTGGAGTATTATGGGGATAGTAGGGGAGAAATAATAATCTTTCTCATCAAGAATTGAGCAAAGTGTGAATAGAAAAATGAAAGACAGATCGATGATATAGAAGATTACGCAAAGAAAGTAAATAAAAAGGTCAAAAATTGTTGATTTGTATTTTTGTACAGATCGATGTGGATCAATTTAATCAATCAATAATCTTTTGAATTTTAAGAGAATTTTTTTAGTTAGTCACATGTTTCTCAGAAATATATATAGATAGAGAAAATTGTTGCACGTACTTTGTATTTACAAAGGAATAAGAAGCATTATTAGTTTTTTTTCTTATGTAACATTTAATTTTGAATTCATGTTATGTGCACTGATAGAATAATTATATTTTGTATTACATATACGGTCAACATATCTAACCTAGATATGATAAACTAAACAATAAATTAATAAGCCTATTATAATGGACTAAACCATAAAAATTGTGAATAGTTTTTTTTTTTTTACGTTATCATTATATGTGATTTAACTTTTTCAACACTGAATTTGATGATGAGAAATTAAATTAAATTGGATCAATTTGTATGTGGAACGACTTTATTTTCTTTAACAAAGTTGATTAAACATTTTGTTCGTCACTTAATCTTGATCTTAATATAAAAATGTAGTGTTAAGGAGAACTTACGTCATAGTTGCTTTAACTTTCATCTGATTCAAATTACTAAACCTGAGTTATTTTCATGGCAATTCTTCTATACTGACTTGCATTATGATAGTATCATTAGCTGTGAATATATGCATGAGGTAATTAGATCACACTACCAAATAAATCATTATTTTCGTCAAAAAATGTTTAATGATTATTTCTATAGATATTTTTATTGAATCGGTAAAAAAAAAATATATTAATGTTTTCATAGAAAAATTAGGATGCATGTTTTCTATTATTTCTATGAGAATTTGTTTTCCACCAATATACAATTTTTTTAAGTAAGCTGGTTCAAGAAAATGAATACAAAAATATGTTCTACATCATAAATTTCTCACTAATTTGCGTAGAAAGAACTTTATTCCTAGTAGTTCGTGACCTAAGTCAATTAATAATACTTCTTTGTTTCTAACTTGAATCTCTTTCCTTTTTTTTATTCGTTTAAAAATTTAAAAAAAAAATCTCTTATTTTAGAAACTCTATAATTTAAAACTTTTTATATAATATGCTTAAAATTATAAAATCAAATACTATTGTTATTCATTCTATATTGTTTTTGTCTAAGATCATAAAATTCAAAAAAAAATTCTTTTTCTTAAATATCGCATAAAGTCAAAACCAGATAGAAAATTAAAACGAAATAGAGGGAATAGTAAAATCACGGTTATCTATCTATAATCTATGTACGACTAGCTATAAGTCTAGAAACTATAAGTATGTCTAATGAAATGCGCTTAAAATCATTGTTATTTTACTTTGAAGTACATTTACTTTGGACAGTTAGACGAAGAGTAAAAGCATTTCTCCATTTATGATAAGTCTCGAGTTTGAATCTCTTTTAGCTATGGAGTTAAATTTTATTGGAGAGTACTTTACTTTACCCTCTTAATATAGGACTTTCAGATGCGAACTCAAATTTAGTTAAACTTGAATGGATATATCAAATATTTGGACGGTGAATTAAAGATAATTAATTATTGTATCACTTGCACTATAACAAAAACACTTTTATCAACAATAAATATATATAATAACAAAAAGGGCTAAATCTTTAGTGTCATTAGATCTAATGTCTCTAAAGGCTTTATAAATAATGTTAATTATCGCTAAAATACATTTTTAATAACTATTGTTATAAATTTATTACGAAAATAATTTTTGATATAATGTAAAGGTACTAGATAAATGTTAACTAATCCATGTTTTGGATGACGAATAAATTCGCTTCATTTATTAAATCTAAGTCCCCTTGATTTGTATAAATAGATACTTAAATTTGTATTAGAAAATCAGAGAGAATGCGAAAAAAAAAAGTGGGAAAAATGATAAAAACGTCACCTGAGAGATTCGAACTCTCGCGGGGAAACCCCATGTACTTAGCAGGCACACGCCTTAACCACTCGGCCAAAGCGACGTTGTTATCAACTTGCAGAATTAACATATAACTATTAAATATGTTTAAAATGACACTTCAAATAACATGTAGGGAAATTCTATGGTATAGAAAACATGTAGCATATATTAAGAACTATAGCTACAATTTAAGAAATTTATGATAACAGTTTTCTCAATTCTTGCTATTTGTATAAATTCAGAATTTGTATAATTGTTCTGATTATATTAAGTTGGAATGTTTTATATACTTACCTTAGTTATTTGTGAACTATTTACCAAACTTCATAATAAATTACCTTGTTTGTATATTGACAAACGAAATTCTGAAAAATTCCTAAATGTATAAATACAATATATATATATATATATATATATATATATATATATATACTTC